ATCCTCGGCAACCTCTCCTCTCCCATCCCGCACATGCGATACTGCCAGGTCAGCTTCCTCGCGTCTCTTCCCGACCGTAGGGATTGGATCCCCAATTCTGCCCTCACGGCTGCATTACTTGTGCGCGTGGAGCATCCTAGGATGATTTTCGCTGCTTTCATCTGCGCCGCCTCGAGTTCTTTCACTACCTTCTTATTTCCTTCCCATACTTCTCCGGCGTACTCTAGCGGCGGTACGATTACGCTCTTCAAAACCGTCAATTTGATGCGTGTATCGAGGTGCCGGTTTGCGAGTATTTGGGCGGCTTGTTTTACAACGTCGTTGCCAAGCGACGAAAACCCAACCCCGATGGCAAATACCACCGAGGGGGGGGGGCAATCGTATATAGCGCCTGATGAAAATGCGGGAAAGCAGCCGGCGCTTGGGAGTGTAAATTTATTTTGGTGTGCAATGCCCGTAGAGCTCGCAACGTTGCAACATGTGCAGGATGGCTAGATCGCTGTGTCCGTCTCGCAACCTGCCGCCCCATCCCCGGATTCGTTTTTCTTGCTGCTACGTGGTGGCTGGCCCTTCCGTGGTCGTTTGACGCTGCAGGGACAACTGCAAGTGCGGATCCTCGTGCAAGTGCACCTCGGGAGGAACCTGCGACTGCGGCTGCGGCTGCAAGTAGTAACCGCGATGATTTCCCGAACGGACGGGGGCTTCACTTCGAACAGCAGCTCCCAACGTCCGGGCTCGTTGTAGGAAGAAAAATGTACGCTCGGGGTCTGACCCTTCAACGCTGTCTCTCCTATGCTGCTGGTGCTTGGCATGGAAGAGAAGTTGGCGGCGATTGATCGAGCTACGTGTTGGATGCTATCGTGGGCGGATGTCTTATTTGTCCTGGAAAAAATGAAGAGTCCTGTAGACAATAGAAGTAGGTGGTAGAAGGGGCTGAGGGGGTGCGGCAGTCGGACCCGTGGCCTTATCATACACCGAATGGGTATTTCGGGGGGTGGAAACGCACGACGAAACGAGACTATTGGCTATGTCTTTCGATGTAGTTGCACGAGGGATCCGCTTGTGTGGATTCGCTTCGGTCATTCGTCGCGCGCTAGTGCGTGTGGTTTGTGTAGGGGAGGGGGGGGCATTCCAATGCGTCCATATCCGCGTGCGGGGACTGGGGATCGGGGCTCAACATGTTTGTCAAATGCACCCCCTGTGCACAGCACCGTTATATGTGAACACAGGAAGGACTTGTACCGTTTTGGGTGTGATGGACGTTTGGCAAGGGGAAGGAGGACAAGGCCATTTGATCGATATCAAAAATAAAGAGCGGGGTATATGAGAGCAATCAATGGGGTAGGGTGAGCAAAGGCCTGTTCAAACCCTTGCGGTCCTGCCCTTTGCTCAAAGTGTCTTGCGTTGTGCGCACCTAAGTATTCAACAACGCTCTTCAGTTCGATTCTCTCTTGTCTGTGAACAATAACATGTTGTGACGTTTGCGGTGGAAAACGATCTTCTTGCTAATCGTGGGAACGAGCTGCTTCGGTTGAAGTCTCGTTCTGCATGAGGTGATGGAGTTGGCTCACGGACGAAGACCCCGGTCGGCAGAGCGACCAAACACAACGAAGGGGGAAAGACCGCGAACGTCGTTAATTTTGAACACGATTGATGAAAGCCGACCATGGAATGCAGCAGTGTGCACGAACGGTGGCACGTAGTTCGCGTTCGTCTCGCCTATTATGGTGCCACTATTCACCTTTCGGTGCATGTGTTTAACGTACCAGGCGTGTTCAAACACCAAATCCCTTCGCAGCAGTGTTTTCTTATTCGTGTCCATGGGTTCCAACAGCAAACCACATCTTGGTTGACCTTTCTTTTATTGCCCTACCCTGCCTCTTGCGGTGGCGTTATTATCGCGGATGTGTTAGCAACTTTCCCTTAGCATCGTCGACGTAAACAGAATTCATGTGCTCGGCATTTTGGCTTCACGATCACTATTACTGTATAGTAGTAGTCGATACCGTTGACCTTCCCCATCGTCCTCGGCCAATGGGAGAAACACGTCAATCAAGGTGCCATGAACCAACACGAGTAGGGTGGGTCTTGCCTTTATCATGCCGTAAGTACGGCTGATTGGTTGAATGTTGACAATTGTTGAGCTGGAGTTACCCAGGGCCCTACATTCGAACCGGAGCATTACATACTTCACATATGTCCATCTCTTATGTTCGTATCGCATCGATTTCGCTTGGAAAAAGATAGCTGTGGGACAGCATACAATCGTTAAATAGGCGGGGTTACTCGCCCCAGGCTGTAATAGTATAGACACGCGTAGCAACCCCTGAAGACCCGGTGAAGGCTCACTTGATTCATCTCTTTGGATAGCAGTGCTGAATCCTTGCTCTCTGTGGTAGAATGAGCATGTCTCATGTGGGGGCAGACCAGCTCCCTCTAACAGGGGCTACAAAGGTCCTGTCCCCTCCGTTATTATCCTTCAATCGGGAGTTACATCTCCCGCACTTTCCTCTGGGCAGTAGCCCGCACTATCGTTCCAAAATACCACAATTGTAATGCACCTTCCCAAACCTCTCATTAGATGATGAGTCGCAAGGCATCGTGTGACCTCGAAAAAAACGGGGGGAAGGAAGGCATAAACTGGGGCTAACAGAAAGAAAGCCAACGACGGGAGGAGAGCCGCCACGGGCGAAGGCTACAAATACCATAACAAGGCAGACCCAAACGAGATGGCCTTGAAATAAATCTCGACAGAAAATAACAATAGTGAAACTTTCGAGAAGGCACCTAAATAAATACGTACCTTGTGTTTTGTTAGGATATCGGTCACGAATGAATGAATGCGTTTCATTAATGCATTCATGCTCCAAGCTACTTTCGGTCATTCCTTCGCTCGTTGCGGTGGTCTACTGTACAGCAGTACCAAACAAAAAACTCAAAAAAAGCCAAGTCTCCAGTTGGTTTCAATCCACTTACTGGAAAGACTTCACAGCATCCCTTCCGACTGAGGTTATATCTCGAACGGGTAGTCTTCCTGTGAGGTCATGTTAACTTTCTAGAAAACATTGGTATTATATGTGAGAAACAACAACAACAACAACAACAACAACAACAACAACAACAACAACAACAACAACAACA